ACCTACGTACTGTATGCAGTCTTGCGCACACACGATCCGTCTCTCTCGCTCGTACTCTCCCTTTCCCTCTGGCTCTTCCAATCAGATCATCGCTTGCTATTGCGCCATTAGCTAACTACAAGGAACACGGTTCGGACTCGTGAAGACCACGTCAAAAGTTGACGCACACCAAGCAGACATATGGTTCGGCATGAGTGTGCGATAATAATATCAACTTATTTCGAGCCATATATTATTATCCTACCTAGTTAGCATGGCTAACTAATATGATAGCTAGACTACTGGCTCATACAATGTCCGACATCCAGACTAGTCAGAGAGCAGCCTAGTCACTACGCACTAAGCTTTGATTAAGCAATTAATGAATGCGACCGTGGCGCCGAGCCAGGCCTGGCTCTCAGCAAATGAAGCCCCCCCATACCAATAGAAACGGGGCCGGAGCTGTATGGAAGAAGTATTTTACCTGTCGGATGAGCTTCTAGACCGATGCTGACAGGGATGCCCAAAAAGCGCCGAGAATTCTTCACTTCCTGATTTAGTAGAAGAGAGAGCGTGTGTGTGCTGACTTGCCTGCCTTGTAGGGTATATTCTGCTCGGGATAGAAACAGCGCGTTTGCATCAAAAATAGCGGGTATAACTGCTACATCGGAAGATGTGGTGGGCGTCATACGTGGGGTGACAACACCAACTTGCTAACTACTAAGTTAGTATCTATCTACTTCCTTTGTACCTTACAGTAGTAGATCGGCTGCAATTCACGCAAACGACGGGAGAGATTGCTTCCGCTGACGAATGCTTCTGACAATGACAATGGGAGACGATTAAACCCGACACGTTTTTTTTCTTTTCTTTCTTTGCCGTTTCTTCATTTTTTTTTCTCTTGTTTTTGTTTTTATTTTTAATATAATCTTGACGCCCTTATCTTATGGAATCATTTTTTGTGGGACTCTTGCACCTGTCACCCAAACAGTTAACGATAGTAATAACAACCAACCCATGCGCACTTAACCGAAGCGACCCTACTAATGAAACCTCCAGATAAAAATGGTACGTATCGAGGACGGGATTACTAGTTAGTAGTAGTTTCCAGGTGGAAAAAAGAGAGAGACAGGGGGCATAAGCGGGTCCAGCAGCCAACCAGCCATTGGGCCAAAAGCGGGGAAGAGAGAGCCACAGCGGGATGGTGGCCAGAGCGATGAGTGGCCAACGGCATCAGGAACAGCCTGCAGGCTCCACTTTTACTGACCCTGATTGGACAGCAGAGAGAAACATGAAACAAAGTCTAAGTTGGCATTCAACGTCCTGTGGCTCAGTAAAGCGAGGTTTCTGCCCCCTGAACTTATTTCCTTTTGATTATCGGGAGGGTGGATGATGATGACATCCTAATTTTTTGGAAGGTTTATTTACAATTGACTGAGGAAAGTGGCCAGTAAACTGAGCCCTTCCTTTGCCGCTTTTACCGTTGGGTTGTTGAATGTTACTGCCTGTTAGACCAAAATGATGACTAGTAGCTAGTAAGTAAACTACTCATAGTGGTGATGTACTCCGTACTTAGTACTAGTAGTAGTGACGGGACGATGTGCCTGAACTTGATGCAGGTACAGCAACCCGCGCGGTCCATCAAAGTAAATAATTGTCATCTACTATTGCTTGAAATCCAAAAAAGTTCAAACCTAAAAATCCAGTAGGGGAACCATTGATGACCCAACTAAGTATCTATCTACCGACCCCATTGATTTCACCCCCTCCCCTGAGCCGAAGAGTTAGTCGAAGTTGTTCTTCCGGTCGAAAAGAGCAATGGAGCGACCGATCAACAGGACTTGTCTCGCAACGCATGGACAGCTTGGACAGCATGGACAGTAATTCAGGGCCAGGGACGAAAGTCACTTGGCGGCACTAGTTGGTCTAGTCAGACAGGCGAAGGGGCTGGTTGGACCAACCAAGAGACGTGGGTAAGACGGCCGCAGAACCCACGAGGTGCGAAACGAAAAATGGAGCCATACAGAGTAGAACTAAGAAGAGAGGAAAGTGAGAGGGGGGCCAATTTGCGGGATTGCCCCAAACTTGCCTATGGAAAGGTTGCTCCTCACCCTCTCACTCTCTCACACCGCATCGGCGCTCTGATTGACTCGGGGGCCATCAACTCCACCCGCGTGCAGTTGCGCTCTCCCCTTTTCGTCCCTGAGACGATCTCCAGGTTAATCTCCCGGCTCATACAAAGGCCCCCCCGTTCCCCCCTCTCCCTCCCAGCTCGTTCCTGGTTCTCTCTGTTCTTTCTCTTTCAAGACCAGACTTCTTTGCCTGCTTGAAGCATCCCATTGACTTCGGTCAGCCACTCTTTTAAATCAAACCCCAACGCAAAACCCCAACTAGCCACACTCTCTTTATCTAAACGCAGCTCTCCCTGTGTTTCACATATCAAACAACCCACACATAAAAATCAAATTTATCGACCTTGACGGTTTTATTCTTTACCAACCACAACACAATTCAAAATGCGTTTCTCTGTTGCCACCGTCGCTCTCTTCGCCAGCCTTGTTGCTGCCATCCCCCAGGATGTCGAGACTGTCTACTCCACTGAGGACGTGACCGTCGTCTCCTGCGCTCCCACCGTCACCAACTGCCCCGGTACTCTGCACGCCACCTCCACCCCCGAGGCCGTCGCTGCTGCCACCACTGGCGGTGCTGAGGGTGTCTCCCCCGTTGGTGTCACCAGCGCTGTCCCTGAGGCTGCCTCCGCCACCCCCGCTGCCGGCAGCTCCCCTGCTGGTGGTGCTGCTGCCGTCGGTGGTGGTGCTGCCCCCAGCGCTGTTCCCTCCGGTGCTGCTGCCGTCGGTGCTGGCGCTGGCACCACTGCTGCTCCCCAGGTCACCGTTATCCCCGTGACCACCTGCGTTCCCACCGTCATCATGTCCACTAGCACCATCGGTGCTGGCTCCGGTGCCGGTGTCGGTGCCTACGGCTCTGGCTACCCCAGCGGCAAGCCCGCCAAGTCTTCCTCCCCTGTCATCCCTAGCGGTGCTGCTGCCTACGGCTCTGGCTACCCTAGCGGCAGTGCTACGTGAGTATCCTGACACCATTTCTTAAAAGTAAATAATCATACTAACAATACGCACAGCCCCTCTCCCTCTTCTGCTCTCTACACCGGTGCCGCCAGCTCGGTCAACGGCAACGGCTTCGCTTTCGCTGGTGCCGCCGCCGCCGCCGCTTTCTTCTTGGCTTAGATTCCCCTTCTTGTTTATAGTAGCCCCGGGTCACTCGTGAGTCCGGTTGCCGCTATAGGCGGGGATCTTGGGCGCATGTGAATTGGTGAAGAGTGTCGGGGATTGGTCCATACTTAGTTGCGGTTTTGCTTTGGGAGAGAAATCCGATTCGATGCTTTTTATATCCTTTCTTATACCACTTTTATTCGAAATTTCCTTCTAGATATTTACGCTTCCCGGATTGCTTCGGAGTTCTGTTGTGAAGCAATTGGTGGCTGGATACGATTAATGTAACCCATGAAGCTTTCACATACCCAATTCGAAGCAGTTAAGAGATTTAATCAATGCCGTGCTAGAGCTATCATTTCCATCCGGTCCAGATCACCACGCCATACAGCTGCTGTAGAACTGCCAGACGATCGGACATGTCCGACAACAGGGGCCGGCCCGGATCTCTATGGATGGATCTACCCATCACCTAAGTAATTGCCGTGATGACATGGGGCAAGTTGGAAGAACTCAGCAAACAAGTACTAAGCAGGAGGCTGAATGGAGGGCTGAATCCGGGGAGGCCGCTCGATCTTGGGGGCTACAGCGTAAATGTTTCAAGATCTCGAATTCATTTTTTTTTTATCTCTTTCATTTATCGGCGACCGGCTGTTATCCGAATTTTGCAGTTCGTCTCGTTGCTGGTCTGCGCCCACTGGTGTGTATCACATGGTCTCGCCAGTGCGGGCGATTGATTGGGTGGCTGTTTCAGATATTCTCTGGCTTAAAATCCGAGTGTTGCCCTCAGCCCTATTTGTGCCATATTGATTACTTCTTTAGGGGGGTTTTGCCGGGCGATTCTGGAAGAATTGGACGATCGTCAATTTGTAGACGCTGTCAGTGTGTAGTAAGTAAGTATTTTTCGATCGTGTGTGTGTGTGTGTGTGTGGCTGTGTTTGGGGGTTTGGGAGATCCGTGATCTGGAGGTCGGGTTTGACACTATTCTCCTTTAGCCCCAGGGCCACCAACAGACAACACGTGCTGTTTACTTGGTTGACAACGGCAACATCCTCGCTGTGTTTGACTCGACTAAGGCTACCACATGGCCATCGCGATGATTAATGCTATGCAATATAGGTTAGGGATGGAAGCAGCATCCAGTGCTACGCAAAATACTTTTCCCCTCTGAATTGGACTCATCCAAAGCTCGGACGACAAAGGATGTGGCAGTGTTGATTTTCCAACCTCATTCGGAATCCTTCAACCAACGAACCAAATGCCCCCATTATCGCGCAGCCTCCACTTGACGACATGCTATATCGCTCAGACCCATGGAATCTCTCCAGATGGCGTCTAAATTCATAGGGAATTCTACCTGCGCTTATGATCGCCTCCACGATGAAACTGCAGCTTCATGGTTACGATGACAGCACATCCAGTCTCGGACCCCAAATCCTTCTTCTGCCCCAGTTTCCGGGCCCATCCCGAAGGGCAAAAAAGAAACTATCGAACACCGGGAGATCCTTCTACGGCGGGGTTTAACGTGAGCCGACGGATTGGTTTCCTTGTTCGCTTCTGAACCAAGGCGAACATCAGCCGGACAAGCCGAAAGCTTTGCCAACAGGGCTTGCGCCCTTTCCGCAGCTGCAGTCCACTATAGGAGGTTGGAACGAACTACGAGGAGGAATCCACTGTGAGGCGCAAGGCAATTTCCTGACTGTCATGGGTGTTGTTGGCTCGTATTATTGTGTCTTTGTTGCTGTGCCCGTCAAAGAAATTGGCCATAGCCGTGCACACAGAAGACAACACCACCCTTTTCCCACAGGGGACATTGTTCCAGCACTGCCTCAAGTATCAACAAATGTCTGATATATGAACTGTGCTCTTCCCTTTTGAACCCCCAAGTATATTCTCACTCGATCCTTGACGATCATACTTTTCTACACCGACTTTAATTCCTTCATCGGTACATAGGTCGCGTGCAATGATCTTTCTGTGACATTTGCGTACAATTGCTTAGCCTACATCCACATTTTTTATCTACCTTCTCTTGAAACCGTCTTTCACATTATCACAATGGACCTTTCATCCTTAGAAGGCCCGCCTATCGCCGACACCCGGTTCACCGTCTCGCCGCGACGAGCAAATGTTCCTAGTATTCGTCTGGACACGTCCACCCCAGTCAGCCCGATCAGCCCATTAACACCTCATGACCTCCCTCCACGACCAAGCTCGACGGACGCGATCTTCAGTCCCGTGTCTGAATCGGAGTACTCATTTGCGCTGTTCCAGCACCACCATGAGCCGGAAGCCAATCTCAATTTCTACCAACGCTGCCACAGTCCACAGCCCCCGGTCACAGCCGACGAGCATGAGTACCAACAACAATCAAGGCCACAACCAACACTAAACCTACCTCCTCCCCCTCCTTCGTCCTCCTTCTCCCTTCACCCGTGGAGCTCCCGAACTCGAAGCGTTTCAGATCTTACCCCTCACCAATCGCCCAGCCCTCTGCTGAGCACAACCACCACGACCACAGTCACCACTCAGGCCGTGACCACCACCATCACCACCGAAGGTAACCGTCTCGTCTGGCTCGAGCACGAGAAGCTGTGGTTCTTGAAACCTTCCACAGACCCCTCACCACACCTCAGCCCCGACTACGCCGTGACCACCAGACCCACCCCTGATGCTCACTATGCGCCTTACCGCCCTTCTTCGTTTCATGGCCAAGTCCATCTTGCTGCTTTAGCACAGAGGAGAGATGTACCCCCGCCATATGGGCGGCACATCCTTGATCGGCCCTTGCCTCCACTACCTACGGATGACGACGAAGACGAAGGCTCGTGCGGATCTCGGTGGACGGCGGTTGCGAGAAGGAGGGCCAACCGGGCTGTGTCGAGGTGAGGGTGCCTGTTTAGTGTGTTGAGAAAGAGGCGGAGTTGTAGAGATGGATTGGAACGGATATTATCAGCTGCTGGCCGGCTATCCTAATTTGACATAATCCTTGTTCTAGTTTAGTGGCGTCCCCAATTATCAAGCATAGCCGGGTGTTTTAGGGGGTGCATGTGTAGTACTATTAGATTGTCTGTTTCTTGATGCGTTTCATCCTGTACATCATCTCATTCGCTCTTCTTTCTTTATCTGCTTACTAGGTAGTTGTTCTACTTCGCTCGAGATACCCAATTTATCATAGATCATTTACTCCTTTATCTCACTTCTCATTTCTTACCTCGTACTTACCATTTCAATTCATCTCACCTCGCTCTCACACTCTCTTCAGTCACTCGCCCATTCCCATCATGTGATAATACAATATTACAAACACCAAAACCAACCAAACCATACCACTGAAATCCCGCACCCATCACCACCACCTCAACCACCACCTCATCTCCCCTTCCTATACCCCCCCCAACACCCGATCACCATGGCCAACCCCAAGACGAAATCAAGCACGACTCTACTCAGAGACGCAGTGAATGACCATGGATAAACAAACAAAATCTGCTCTCAGTACACGCTCAATTCACTCCACAGCTTCGCGTCACCCCCTCAACTAACTATGTTTACTATCTTGATCTTCGCGTTCCGCTCCCTCATTCTCCTCGTCTACCGGCTCTTCTACATCTCCTTGGTAGTAATCTCCGTCTTCGTTTCTCTAGTGCTTCTTGAATGCTGTGTTACAGTACTTCATTGAGGTATCGTCGTGAGGGCGCTGGCCTGGGTTAACAATGGAGCAACGCGATCTCGTCTCGAGACCGAGGTCAATGTCTCGGACTCCCAAGGAAGGACCCCAGAGCCAGCATTCGGAGATAAACGTTCTACAATTCTCTGAGTTGCATTTCGTGGCTGAGCAGACTGCGAAACAAGCACGGTGCTGGGAGGGTCAGGTGGATAGTAAGTGTTTCTTTTCACCTCCGCCGTGATTACTGTACTTTTGGTTGGGTATGAAAGCTAATTATACGTAAAGGACCTGCTTGTCCTGACTTCAAGGCAATCTGGACTTGTATCACGCCTAGGATGCGGGAGCTGTACGTTGACCGCGTCAAGTATGTTGAAACGAAAGGTTGGGATTGGATATATGCGGACTATGAAGGTTTTTTGAAAGTCTTGTATGAGAGGTATTTTGCGGGAGTCGATCAGAGAAGGGCTGAGATGATCTCTTGTGTTGATTGTGAGTGTGCTTTTTCTCTGGTCTGGTTTGAGAGTTGACTGACGGGGTGCAGTTGCCGATTTGAAAGCTTTGGTTGACAATGTCGACTTGGAATCGGTCGTTCCTGAGTCTATGTCTGTTGATCAGGACGAACCAGAACCAGAACCGAGACTAGAACCGAGACTAGAAACGGGTGCTGATCTTCCAGAAAAGGATGTCGCCATGGCGGACTCGGTCGAGGAGTCTCCTGTGGATTGTGACATCAAGATCCCCGAGAACGAAGAAATCGTCGCCTTGGAGAACGCCGTGGGTAGAGGAGTTGAGATTCTGAAAAAGCTATATGCCATTTTTGCAGGATCGGATGCCTTCGGCAATGAGACAGACTGGAAAGCTGAGATTGAGCGGACCCAAAAGTTTGCCTGTACGGAAAAAGTGGTCATCGGACTAGTTGGAAGCACCGGCGCAGGAAAGTCGTCACTCATCAACGCGATCCTAGATGAGAAGAGTGTCTTGTCTACAGACTGCATGCGTGCTTCTACTGCCGTTGCAACGGAGATCTCCTACAACCAAGGAGCCACGAAGTACAGAGCAGAAGTCGAATTCATCAAGCGACATGAGTGGGAACGCGAATTGGAAGTCTTGTTTGCAGAGCTCCTTGACCACCAGGAAGAAGTGACTCGAGGTGCAATCCCCAAGAATCCCGATGCAGCGGTGGCCCTGGACAAGATCAAGGCCGTCTACCCCATGCTGACACCCAAAGACATTTTGAACGCATCCGTTGCCAACTTAATGGCCAGCGAGAGAGTCACTGATCTCCTGGGGACTACTATGGGTTTTGAGGGAGACGACCCTAAAGCATTCTCTACCAAACTGAAATCCTATATTGACAGCAAGGGAAAACGAGGCCGACCCAAGAAGTCTGCTAAGAAACAAGATGCCGATGAACACCCAGACTCTGCGAGCGACACTGACACAGCCAACCAGGGCATCGGTCTTTGGCCTCTTGTGCGTGTTGTGCGGATATACACCAAAGCCCCAGCCCTGGCAACTGGTGCGGTTTTGGTGGACCTTCCTGGCATCTTTGACTCCAATTCCGCGCGAGTTGCCGTCGCCGAAGATTACATGAGACGCTGTTCGGCTCATTGGATTGTGGCTCCCATCAACCGGGCTGTCGATGATAAAGTCGCGCGTGACCTGCTCGGAAAGAACTACAAGCTGCAATTGCAAATGGATTGCGCATTCAATGACATGACCTTCATTTGTACTAAAACCGACGACCTGGTTCCAACTGAAGTCATTTATTCTCTGGGCCTCGACTTGCCAGCGTTCAATGAAGTTCAACAGCTGCCAGCTAAGGTTGAATGGCTGGAGAACGGAATCAAAGCTTTCGAGAAACCTAAGAAAACAATCATCTCGCAGCTGGATTGGATAGAGACCGAGATTGAAGAACTTGAAGAACGACTAACTGGCGATGAGTTCGGCTGTGATGTATTGGAAATCACTCCCAAACGCAAGAAGCCACACGGAAGCGAGCCCTTGGAGATGGCAGCCATTCAAGAGGCAGGCATTACCGAGACTCCTATGGTGGAGAAGCTCAAGAACCGATTCTTGGACCTCAAGGTTCAGCGCAAGGATCTACGGTCTCAGCTAAAGCATATCAACGAGGAAATGGACAGCAAAGTGGAGGAGCTGAAAGAGTTAGAAGACGGAAAGAAACAACTGGAGCACTCTGTCATAAAGTCTTGCATTGAGGCAAGGAACAAGTTTTCAAAACAACAGATCAAACACGACTTTGCCTTGGAGGTTCAAAATTTGGACCAGGAACTTGAAGATGATGACGAAAACCCAGTTCAGACCGCAGATTGTGATTACGACGAGCTGGAAAGGAACCTTCCTGTGTTCTGCGTGTCGACCCGGGCCTACCAAGGTCTCCGGGGTCGGGCTGATATGGCAAAGCTCGTTGGTGGCTTCTCCGAACTGGAGGAGACTGAGATACCACTTCTACAGCGCCACTGCGTAAGGCTCACGGAAAAGGCCAGAGAAGAATCGTCTCGGAGGTTCTTGTCCCAAATGAACCAGGTCCTGCAGTCGATGAAGCTGTGGTGTTTGGTAAGCACGGCAACAGGCGACGCCTCAGAGCAGAAAATCAAAGAGATTGAAGCCGACTTTGGAAATGTGTTTGGCGGACTGACAGAAGTATGTCCACTTCCTCCTTCCTAATCCAGTTCTGACCTTCCAGGCTGCGGAGGCGCATTTGAACCATTTCGACAGTGTCGCCAGGGAGACTGTCCGAGTAAACATCTTCAATAAACTAAGTAAGTCTTCTGATGGCAAATCCTAGCAGCGCTAATGGTACAGACCGAGCGTCGCGACATGCAGTTGTCCAATTCCCCGAAGCTGTCTCTCGTTGGAATGCCCCAGGCAGTTCCGGGGGACTCCGATGGAATACATACAAGGCCATCTGTCGCCGTCAGGGAGTATTCCATGAGACAGTAAGTCCCTCCATGCAGGTGCAATAAACACAGCTGACAGGTGTTCAGGATTGGAATCAAGATTTGTAAGTCAAAGATTAAGCACTAGAATTCAAACCGACCTAATCGCTTGCAGAGCCCGACCAATGCTTGATAAGATAGCTACGTCCTGGAAGAGGTGTGTTTGCTATCTAGGCATGTTCTGGATCAGTCTAACGCGCAACAGGACTTTCACGGACCTTCTCCCGCATTGCCTTCGTTATTTAAAGGAAGATCTGGAAGCTGTGGTCAGTCGATTCCACACACAGGCGATTGAATCCGTCAAGCAAGGTATCCCTGAAGAAATCCGAGTCCAACTGCAAGATACGCTCGTCGCGTGCCATCAGACAATGGGAGAGCAGTTTCGACAGGCTGAAAAGTGGACCATGCAGGAACAGAAGCGTATCAACCGAACGTTCGCCGAAGCGATCGCCGAGCGACTGAAAGAAACCTACCAGGCCTGTGCCTCCGAAACAGGTGAGACTCTATTGCAGCTAGTCGAGAAGTATGCTAACATGCTCGTCACGACAGGACGAGGAAGCTTACAGCGTATCAGGGCGTTGATGCAACAGACAGCAAACGACCACGCCAACGATGTCCTCCGAGGAAGCACAGAGAATGCGAAGCACGAGCTTGGGAAGCTACTTGACGGCCAGCTAGCTGAGGTGGATCGGATTATCCATAATAGACTACAGCGGATTTCAGAGGACTACCATGGGGCGCTGATCGCACCACAGATCAAACTGTATACGGAAGAGCAGATCCGTAATAAGTGTGAAGTCGCTAAGATCGTCAAGGAAGCTGAGGCGGAGTTGCTACTGGGACACCTTTTGGGAGGAGTTCGTTCATCGTAACAGGGGAATAGCAGCCGTGCCTAAGAAAGTGGAGCACTGTGGGGAGGCAGGACCGATGCAGATGGAAGGCGGGAGAGCAGGAGAAGAACAGAGAGGCAGCCAGAAAGAAAGCCATGTTACACGTCTGCAGTTAGGGTAAACGTGGACTGGACGCACCAACATGCGGGTGGCCCCAGCTTGGGTAGAGAGTGGTGGACGGAGCGATAAGCCAACCGCAGTGTCAAGATAGTCTAGGCCACATAGTAAAAAGAGAAAAAGCTTGTCAAACTGCGACCGCCATGACAGACTAGAGGCGTAAGATTGAGGGGAATCATTGGCAGCGCGTAGTGTTGCTGTTGGCAACTCGCATGACGAAGGCAAGACGCTAGCCAGTGATGGTCGGTGACCCAGCCTCCGAATTTTCGAGCGACTGGGAGGGCCGTCTGGATGGAGACTATTAATATTAGTAGCAGCGTGACAGATGGAGGCCAGCGCCGTTGAACTTTTTTTCACATCACTTCATTCATCTGTGTTTGTTGAGTGTTGACTTTTGACTTGAAGGTTTATGATATTTGTTGTGCTGTGCTGTGCTTTGCTTGTGTTTTCTTCAGCGAGCAGTGAAGTGACATTTAAAGTTGATTGATACTACTCCGCGCTGGCATTCTTTTCCGAAGCTGCAACTGAACAGATACGACAGATCATGATGAGTGCTTGAGACGGATTAAGACCGATACGAGCAGTGATAGAAATCGGGATTACGACAGAACCGAGACAGACAGAGAGAAAGAGAGAGTGACAGAAACAGTGATAGATTAACACTGACTGTCCACCGACACGACTAATAATAATTGATAAATTAACCAGGTGCAGACCCGCGTCAAGTGAGGGATAACACCACCGGGATTTGAAGAGAGAGAGAGAGAAAGAAAGAAAGAAGAAAGCAGAGAAACAAATTCCACCGCCTTCGCTGCCCTTCGATCGGCGCCACCAATCACAGTCAGCCCAGCGGCGATGGGGCTCCCGCATCTTTTCTCTCGTCACAAATCTTCTTCCTCCAAATCCTCTTCTTCCAAGTCTAAATCTACTCCGACAACGACTGTTTCTGCTCCTGTTCCTCCTACTCCTCCCACTCGCTCGATTCCTGCTTCTTCTCCCCCTCCGTCTTCCTCTCCTCTCCCCCCTCCTCCTTATTCTTCTTCATTTTCAGCGAGTTCCCCTCCTCCCCCACGTCCATCCGCAAGAGTCAAGACCGACGACTCATTCCCGACTCGACCTCCGCCCCCTCCTCACCGGGCAAAGACCGTTCATTCGGCTCCCTCTCGCCACCCCCATCCTCCTCCTACGCCGCCGCTTCACCATCCGCAGTCGTTTCCTACTCCGACTCAACGTCCTTCCATTCCTCGAAAACCTACTCGTCCGGCGCACAGTCGTTCCACCTCCACTCCCTCCAAATCAGCCTCGGTCCGGTCGAAACCCTCGTCCGTCCCCCGGTCCGCGTCGTCGCTGTCTGCCGTTCATCATCGGTACTCGCACGACCCTAACTTCCACCCGCTTAACCTTCATCCCGACGAACTACGTCGCCTTTCCGCTATGGCTGCCGCTCGCGATGATATGCGAAGCTCGATGGACGTCGACACCAACGATCCCCGCCTCGGTTCCCCTTCCGCCACCAACGGTGTGAATGGTACTCACACGGAGAAGAGTCCGACCCCGCCCCCTCACCGGTCCAATGGGAACACCGCTGAGGCCGACTCCTTCAAGCTGGCTGGAAACAAATTCTTCAAGGATGGCAACTATGCCCGCGCCATTGAGGAATTCAACAAGGGTAGGTTAATACCTGACTTCATTTCAGGCAGATTCTGGTGGCAGTTTAGTTAACGATGGTACAGCTCTCGAGATTAGCCCCAACTCGTCCGTCTACCTGTCCAACCGGGCTGCAGCATACATGGCGGCCAACCAATACCTGGCTGCTCTGGAGGACTGCGAACGGGCCCGCGAGCTCGACCCCACCAACACTAAGATCATGTACCGCTTGGCCCGTATCCTGACCGCTTTGGGCCGTCCGACGGATGCCCTTGACGTGCTGTCACGGATTGACCCCCCGGCCTCCGCTACTGACCGTGCGGCCGCAGAGAAGATGCTCCGCTTTGTCAGCCAGGCGGAGGAGGCTCTCTCGCAGGACCGTGGTGTCTCGATGGTGCTGTTCTGCCTCGACCAGGCCCGTCAGCTCCTCGGACAAGGTGTCAAGGAGCCCCGTAAGTGGACACTGATGACTGCAGAGGCCCAGTTGAAGATGGGCAATGACAACTCGTACGGCAAGGCACAGGACATTGCTATTAGCATGCTCCGGGTGAACAGCCAGGACCCTGATGCGCTGATGATCCGCGCCCGGGCCTTCTATGGTATGGGTGACACGGACCAGGCGCTGAAGCTGCTGAAGATGTGCCTGGGTCTGGATCCGGATATGAAGCCGGCGATCAAGCTGCTGCGGACCGTGCAGAAGCTGGTGCGCACCAAGGAAGAGGGTAACACAGCCTTCAAGGCCAGGGACTACCGTCGCGCCATCGACCTGTGGGGTGAGGCGCTGACAGTCGACCCGAAGAACAAGGACCAGAACGCCAAGATTCTGCAGAACCGTGCGCAGGCCTACATCAACCTGAAGGAGTACGACAACGCAGTGGCAGACTGCAATGAGGCCCTGCGGCTGGACCCCGGGTACCTCAAGGCGCAGAAGATGCGCGCCAAGGCGCACGGCGGTGCCGGCAACTGGGAAGAAGCTGTGCGTGACTACAAGGCGGTGGCAGAGTCGAACCCGACCGAGAAGGGCATCCAAGAGGAGATCCGAAAGGCCGAGTTCGAGCTGAAGAAGGCGCAGCGCAAGGATTACTACAAGATCCTCGGTGTGTCCAAGGACGCGGGCGAACAAGAGATCAAGAAGGCGTACCGCAAGATGGCGATCCAGTACCACCCGGACAAGAACCGGGACGGTGATGCTGGTGACGAGAAGTTCAAGGAGATTGGTGAGGCGTACGAGACTTTGAGTGATCCTCAGTAAGTTTTCCTCGCTAAATGTGGTGTTTTGGCATTTGCTAACCAGCATAGGAAACGTGCTGCCTACGACAACGGCGACGACCTTATGGACCCCGCTGACATGTTCTCGCACGGCGGCTTCGGCGGCATGGGAGGCATGGGCGGAATGGGCGGTATGGGAGGAATGGGAGGCATGGGTGGTATGGGAGGAACCCATATCAACATCGATCCCAGCGTGCTGTTCAACATGATGAACGGCGGCGGCGGCGGCTTTGCGCACGCAGGAGGACAGCGCGGAGGATTCCCCGGCGGATTTCCCTTTTAGACAGCGTGCATGCTAAAAGTTGCTGCTGTTCCTGTTGATTGTTCGATTTGCTTCCTCTGATTCCCACCCGCATGACAGACTGGGCGATAGACATGGTTTTTTTTTATTTTCCTTTGGTTTTTCCTTCATCCGTTGTGGACGGAGTGTCTTATTGATTATTGATTGATAGTATGCTGGCGGATGCCAGAGGCGTTATATACCTGGGATGACTGATGAGTTGGGATAGGATGAATGTATGATCCTAATGCTGTACTGAGTAATTTTTGAGTAAATTATTTAAGTAGTGAAACACTGTATTTACACCCAACCTTCCTCCCTATTATCCCTATTGTCATTCTTCTCACCTCGTCCCTCCCCTTCTTCATTCTGATCATACACATTATCATCACCATCACCATTATCACACGAAGCAAGCAACCCCCCAGGATCATGAAGCACATCCTCCGGCGAACTGGTAATAACAATCGGAGTCGCAGTAGTGCCCCCACTACTAGAAACCCCCCTATCCCTCTTCTTCCCACCACTTCCACTCCCACTCCCATCCCCAGACGCAATAGCAGAAGACCTTGACCCCTTCCTCATCTTCGCCTTCACCCTCGACACGAGGATATGCAGCGCGGGTATACAGCTACAAATGAGCCCGAAGCCTCCTTCCGCGTTCCTAGATACCAGTTAGCATATCACACCAAACCCCCCCCCCCTTTTCAACCACCCCCTCAGTGAAAACTAACTTACCCCGACAACAGTATTCTAGCGTATACCTGACTATTCCCCAATCCCCGCACCCCCACGTCCACCACAAGCACAAGCCTATAAATACTAAATCCCACAGCCAACCCGCCACATCCCAACATAGCCCCCACCTTCACCTTCTTCACCACGCCTAGTCGTAGCGGGAACATCAACCCGATGGGCAGTAGTAGGATAGCCAGGTCTGTGATAACGCTCATCACCGCATCAGCGAGAAACACCGCCCCCTCGGAGAGACAATTAGGGTTATGCGGGTTGTTGGGCGACGTCCAGAATGTGGAAACCGGGTCGCAGATGAAAATCTTGATAAAGAAGATGGTGATGTAGTAGATTGTTGTGAGGGTTATGGTGAGATAGACGGTTAGGGTTTGGGATCGGCGGAGGATGAAGAGTCGGGCGAGGATGGTGAGGAGGGTTAGTTTGGCGAGGAGGGTCATTGGGACGTAGATTATTGTCAACGTATAAAATAACTATATTGGGGGAGGGGGGGAAGGTGTTAGTGTTGGGGATGAAAGATGATATGATGAAAATTATTGGGAAGTGTACCTTGTACACGATGGTTGTTTGTGATGGAGTGAAGGTTGAGGGCGGTTGGGTGCCGTTGTTGAATATATCTATCTTCTTTGTTAGTATATAAATATAGAGTATGTATGTGAGAGAGAAGGGGATAGGGACATACAAAAAAGAACTAATATGCAGTATGCGTCGAAGAATATCTAGTACCCTTTGCCATTAGTCTCTCATTTTATATGTACTCCGTACTACTCCCTACTCAGTATAATAGATAGGGTATATACCAACGATACAAAACAAAACCCTAGTATCAACTCCATTAGCCAATACAATCAACCTATATAAAGACAAAGAGTAGGGGGGGCAAGGGATCATACCATCCTCAACATCCACCCCCTTCTTTAACCTCCACGCTACAACTCCCCGTAGCGCTACAAATCCCGTTACCAGCGCCAGACACAGGATCTGTGTGACGAGGCTGATTGTCCAGAGGGACATTCTTTGTCTTTCTCGAGTATCATTTCATCTTTTCTGTTCTGTTCTGTTGTTTTGTAGTTGCTGTCGTAAATTATTATAATTAATGGGAATGGCGGCGGCGGCGGCGGTGGTGTTGCGATGATGGTTTTGTCGGGTTGATGTCGGTTGGGTCAGGTTGGGGTTACGCGGGGAGAGGTATTGTTTGGTTCCGACGTCATGACCCTGGATTTCTATCCATGCCTTGATTATTGACTGTGGGGTTGGTGATGCGGATTTTTATTTTATTTTGTTTATCTGGGTTGGTAATATTTTATCTATGGTGTGTATACATGCCATGTGTATACATGTGTGGAAGGATATCTGACTTAGGGCTAACGTTACTATACTACACCGGTATGTAATAAGTAAAAGGCTCATCATTATGTGCTATTGTATATACAAGGTATCATCACTCATATCCTAATCCTGATAATATCATCCGACTCTCATTCACTCCCAACCCCATCACCCCCAATGCCCGCGACAACGTCCCCCGTCGCAACCGCTGCAGCCCAATCGCCACCTTCCATCCCTCCGTCTCCTGCAGCACAAACACATACCGTTTGCCCTCGTGGTCACGTACAGACGCCCGCAACACATGCAGCGAGCGCTGATCCTCTCCTCCCCCAGTCGATAGTCGGCACGTGTTCTTGCACATCTTCAGCAGGTTGCCCAGGAATGCTTCCGATTCCTCTGGGGTCGGTTCATTCCCCCGCCGATTGAATGGCCCCGGCGGGGGCTTCGGTGGTTGACGCTGCGCCCCAAATTTCGGACACCATACCTCGACGAGGCTCATCGTCCATGCCTTAACGTCCCATTCGCGTTGGCCAACGCCGCGTACATCATCGTCGATGAAGAGTCCTTCTGTCGTGATCCTTAGAACCAGTCCATCGCTGACCATGCCCTGGCCTGAGACGAGCTGCGCCACAGGACTGCGCACAAAGTTGTTGTTGAACTCGAACACACCCTTGATAACAATCTTATCAGGGTCTTTGGTCTCATAGGCGCCGCGATTCGATGGTGGTGGGGTTGTGCGTGCTGTTGTCTGTGATGGCGCGTATGAAGAGTCTGAGTACACTGATGACCCCGAGGTGGCACCGCCGTACGGCCGGCGAGGACGGTCAGTCGGTCGAAAGTTGGAATATGAGCTGTCAGTGTCGGTGCGGGGATAAGCAGGCTTCTTGGGTGATGGTGTGCGGGGAGTGGACGTGCTAGACGCCTTTTGGCTGGCGGCCTCTTTGGCCGCTGCCTCCTGCGCATCTTTGGCTTTCTTCTCAGCGTACTTCTTCGCGGCAGCCTCTTTGAGTGCCGCGAACTTAGCATCCGCTTCCTTCTTAGCTGCAGCTTTACGCTCTTCCTCCTCCTTCTCTGCCTTGGCCTTCGCCTCGGCAGCCTCACGCTCTGCTTTAGCCTTGGCCTCCGCGGCCTCGCGCTCAGCACGGGCCTTGGCTTCGGCGGCGCGTCGCGCCTCTCGTTCTCGGGCTTCCTTTGCCCGACGTGCTTCTCGCTCGCGGGCCTCTCGAGCCTCTTTCTCCGCTTTGGCCTTGGCCTCCGCAGCTTCTCGCTCCGCCTTGGCTCGAGCTTCCGCGGCCTCTCGCTCCGCTTTGGCTTTGGCCTCGGCTGCTTCGCGCTCCGCCCGTTCTCGGGCCTCGCGGGCGGCCGCTTCCTTAGCGGCAGCCATCTCCTTCTCGAGCTGCTCCCTGCGCTCACGCAGCTCCCGCTCCATGGCCTCGCGCTCGCGCTTCTGCTGCTTCTCGCGCTGCTCGGCCTCCCGCTTCCGCTTGAACTCCTCCATCTTGCGGCGCAGCTCCTCCTTGCGCCGGGTCTCTTCACGGGCCTTCTCCCAATCAGCTCCACTTTGAGGTTTGCTTTCAGAGCCGGTGGCAGACGAACCTGTCTTATTTGATCCGCCTGCCTGCGGCGGCGGTTGCGGGGGTGGTCCACTTCCGGGCCCACCAGTACTTTGGTATTGATGGTTCCCACCGTACTGGCCTGCACCCGGAGGCGGACCCGAGTTGAAGTTGCCCCCATATTGCTGCTGTCCTTGCCCTTGTCCACCAGGATGACCATTCGGGCCCTGATTTTGGGCCCCATGCTGCTGTCCCCGTGCATACTCACCTCCGGCGCCATTGCCGGAGGGTCCACCCGCGCCTGGACCCCCGCCGGTATTAAATCCAAAATTGGGCCGTCGTCGGCCTCCCCCAGAATCGGATTGTGAGGCGCCCACGGCCCACCCGACGACCCCAACTCCGATAGCCAGCACGGCGATGGCCAGGCCATTGCCACTGGCGACAGTGGCAGCGCACCATGCTTTCAGAAGGGGTGATATGAGGGTCCAAAGCAGGACGGCGAAGAGTGTGCAGGCAGATCCTGCGATGAAGCTGTTGCGTTGTGGCTGGAGAGAAGGAAGGTAGAGGAATCCGGAGCCGGCGGAGTGAGGGGGGATGATAAAGATGTCGTAATTTCCCGGAGGGAGGTCGGAAGTTTTGCGATATTCACCCTGGGTGGTTTGTGGTTTCTCGCCGTGAGGGGGAGGGGGTGGAGGAGGAGGACCGTCGTCCATGGTAGGCGGTCGTTAAGAATTATTAGACTTGATGGGTTATATAATATATATATCGCTTGTTGATGACTAGTGGTGGCGCACTTGCGATCGTGGCGACATGATCAAACAACGGCAGGCGCTGGAATCAGCGCGTCTAGATCGAGATAGGAGGTCAGATAGCACAGCAATCGTCAGTGAGAGCACATACCTGATGGAACAATAATAGTAGGTGACACGATGATAGCGAGGGAGGAGAAAGAAGACGAAGAAGAAGAAAGGCGACGTGGGATGAGAGATCGGCTGGCGGCAAGAGGAGCGCCTAATCAGGATCGACTCCGTTTGTGTGATCCTCGCAGCAACGCTAACGGATCCCTGGCGACCAGCGTAATGAGATAGATGTACTATGTATATACGATATTGCTTTGCTACCCCGTTGAGCGGTGGGATATATCTGCTGTATGTGTAACGTAGCTGATGTGGCAGTGGAAGGAGATAGAATAGTTGACGATAAATCGGGAGCAAACACGATGATCAATGGCTGGGTTTCAGTTGCTGAGCACCACCGATTGATTGTCTCTGATTTGGTCCCTTGTCAAATGGAAATACCGATGGGATCGGCTTCAGCTATCCACCACATTCTGGAGAGCGATTGGAATTCTAACTGCACTACCAATGAGCACCGGTGCAACCTGCTATACAATGTCGTGATGAATGCAGTGGCACGTCCACATTCCAGCGGAAGTCTATAGAGCACAAGCATCCGCCGCGAACCCGGCTGGGATCTCACAACCTTAATTAGAACCCTGGCCGGATGGGCTTAGAGTTATCTACTGGGTGGACTACCATGGATGTTTTGTAGTATCCGCTGAATGCAACAATAGAGATCAGATATGCCGATATCTTTGCAGGATCACCAGATACTATCGAGTGTTTGTGTTTGTTTTGGTTTCGCTGTTTTGGAGCATCGCGTGGGGAACCGGCAGTCGTCTGATTGGTTGATGTCTCCGCACTCGCTGGTTGGTTCAATTCATGACTAATGACTATCACGTGTAAATATTCTTTCTTTGCTGCCTCAGGCAACAGAAGAGTCGGATGGCCTCACGGATGACTTCCAGTCACACCAAACACTAAATCTAAATCTCCGTCCAGTCGCAGTAGATACTTAAGCTAAACTGACCCCTGCCATCACTGCTATGGTCGGATTCTGACCGCCTGCAGCCGGGATGATCATGATGATGCTCGTCCGTGATCTCCAGGCACCAAGCGATCACGGGATGCGTTAAGTCAGTTGCGGAGATGGAAAGGAGAGAGAAGAGGGGAGATACTTTTGCCTCCAAACTTCTGTCTCTCCCACACTCTCCCCCAGTATATAGTAAAACCACTTCTGTCAGCCTGGAATCCGAGATCCGCCTTGTTTCAGCCTTTTGCTGCACCAAACTTACTGCCAGGCGGTGACTCCACGCTGAACGGAAGCCGGCCGACGCCATCCAATCCATTCAGTCTCCAGTCTCCAGTCCTGACGCCTGCTGCGTTGCTGCTGCTGGTCAGTCTGATCTCCATCCGGCTCTGCTGGCTGCTGTTTCCCATCCCCTCGACCTGTTTTCCAGAAATTCCCTTTTCTTTTTTCCTTCCTCCGCTATCTCTCCTCTCCTCTCCTCTCCACCCCCCCGTGTTGGCGTCATTTCTTGCCCCTGGCCCTGTCAGGTACCGCCCCCTTCCCCGCCGCCAACTGTCCTCTCTCCGTCCTGCCCCGGCTTCAGCCTCACCCGACCTCTATTTCTTACTCTCTCGCGCGCAATCAGCGTTTCCCTTTGATGCCGCTATAGCCTGTCCTTGTTGACCATCGCTCTCGTGCCCCTCGAGGGCCCGTCCCATCCACCATGTCCTACCAGTCCCAGGCGGCTCCGCATCTCCCGATCCCCGTCTACAACCCCATGGCCGCCATCAATGCCCCCGCCGGCACCTTTCTGCCCGGAACCAAGGTCCAGGTTGGCAGCCACCGGGTCGTGGTCGAGAAATACCTCTCCGAGGGCGGTTTCGCCCACGTCTACGTCGTGCGCCTGCCTCAACCCGTCGATGGCTCCGATCGTGCAGTGCTGAAGCGCGTGGCCGTCCCCGACAAGGCGGCCCTGGCCAACATGCGCACGGAGGTTGAAACGATGAAGAAGCTCAAGGGACACCGCCATATCGTCACCTACATTGACTCCCATGCGTCGCAACTGCAGGGCGGCGGATACGAGGTTTTTCTCCTCATGGAGTTCTGCGCCGGCGGCGGACTGATCGACTTCATGAATACGCGCTTGCAGAACCGGTTGACCGAGCCGGAGATTATCAAGATCTTCTCGGACGTGGCCGAGGGTGTCGCATGCATGCACTACCTCAAGCCTCCGCTGTTGCACCGGGATCTCAAAGTCGAGAATGTGCTGATCTCCCGTCACGG